CCAAATACTAATGTTTACAAAAAAAAATAGTTTTTTTAGTTTACGAATTAAAGTTGAAATAATTATATACAATTTGCTAAAAAATTGATAAAAATAGGGCTACAAATAACAAAAATATAACATTTTAATAAAGCACGCTTTTAGATGTTTTAAAAAACTTTTAATAAGAGTAACTTTAACTCTACATATATGTTTCGGCTTGTTAGGCCTTTTTCAAGAGTTTTTTAAGAACTAATCGTCAAACTACACTGTAACTATATATATATTTGCTATGGGGGTGGGTTCAGAGAGTTTACAATAGGGGTAATAAAAAATGTGTTTAGAAATCCGTGTTGGTCGTTAACATTATTTTCGTTTTTAACAGATTTTAGTATTTCTAACTGTTTCAATGTAATTTAAGCGTCTACCTTTTGTTTCTCTGTGTAGTAACTTAATTGAGTTTTCATTAATTTTGTGATTATTTACTATACAATGAGTTGCAAGACCAGAACTATGCTGGAGATTATTAATAGACTTTACATGTTCTTTAATCCTTATATCTAAATTTCTACCTGTTTGGCCTATGTTTGTTTATTAAAATACTAATATTTCAACGATGTTTCACAAGGAACCAACCACAGCTTCAGTACAATTTATTAAAAATATAACACTTTAAATTTGACCAAAATTTTAGCTGTTGCCTTTTTTGCATTTAGTAATATGAAGTTTTGATTAAAAATTTTCTTTAATAATTCCCACGTAGAAATATGAAAAAAAACAATTAATAACCAATTTGAAAGTCGTAACTTGAACTGTGTTTTTTTATTTGTGAAATATTTTTTTCTGTCTCGATATCAAACAAATCACAACCAGGCCATTCCGAGAACCAGCCCTCGAGAACCCGATAAGTTGAATTGCTTAATGCTAATGTTTATGGCACATCGCATGACAAATTCGGAACCTAAATATTTTGATCGATTGTATTCGGATTTTCAAAAATATTAGAATTCGAAAAGATGCGGAAGATATTCAATACTCAAATGTATTCTCATTCGAAATGAATCGAAAAGTATTCGATTGCAAAGGTCATCCGATTTTTCCTTCACTATTTTTTTCTTCTTGAATGGTATGTATTTGTTAGTTTATAGACAAAAAGGTATCCAAAAAAACTGTTTTTTTGGATACCAAAAAAAGAGAACTATTTTTATATCAGAATTGGTCTTGAAATCCTCTTTTATCATTAAATTGCAACCTAAATAGCTGTTAGAAGACACTGTTTTAATATATACCTTTGTTTTATATAGAAGCTACTTTTATAGCAAGATAAAGATATCAAATGGTCATATAAAAATAAAAGTAATATAAAACAAAATAAAATGCAAATATAAAAAACCAGAAAATATATTTTTCTTTACCATTGGATTAGGTTATACTATTTTACAAATGATCATATAAAATGCCTTTGGGAATATTTATTTAATTTCATATTACAAGGAAGCAGAGAAAAATTTAATAGAGAATTCCTAAAAATAAATACCTCTCATCGATTTTAGCTTCTAGATTTAATTTAAATCGACTTACTTTCAATTCCACCTTCCGTTACAATATGGCAAAAATCATTTCTAGAACTAGGAAACATTTTCAAATGTACAAATAATAAAATTTTGAAGCCGGATGCAAATTATAAAAATGATTGAATTTCGTATTCTATACCTTATTAAAATTTCTGTAATATTTTGACATTTTTGGAAGTAGGTGATATTATTAAAATTTTATTTAATTTTAAGATATTATTTTATAAAAATATATTAATATTATATTATATAATTTTTTTAGACCAATATCAACAGAACAAGTATGCTAAAAGACAAAAGAGAATTAATAAATTATAGTTTAATAGTTAAAATCATACCAAAACTAACAACAGAAACTACCACAAAATACAGTATGTTACCAAAAGAACACAATTAAATTAAAAATAAAATACAAAGAAAATTAGAAAAGAATATTTTATTATATTAGAATTATTAAAGATTTTTATCTGTATACTTATAGTATACCTAATCTGTGGGATTACTCTGTTGTTTATTTCTCTATCGTTCCATCTCCTGTAAATACCGAACACAGGTACATACCTATAATCTTTAATCTTTACATGCATTAATTTCCATATTATTGCCTAAAATAAGATTTTCTGTATTGGCTCCAATTGGAAGGTATTTTGTTTTTTCTGTATTTACTGTGAGACCTCCATTTACCGTATTCTTCAATTATTTTTCGCACCATATATTTCACGTCATCTTTGTCGTTTGCATTTATGGCCTGGTCGTCTGCAAATTGCAAGGTGTGTAAGCATATGTAGAATAGTCAAGGCCAGAAATGCAATAAAATATCTGAATAATATATTCTGGAGTAACGAAATAGGTAAAGACAGAAAACTAAGGATTTATGATGCGATAATCAAGAGCAATCTGTTATTTGGGGCGGAAACATGGAGGTTGACAGAGAATAACAAAAGAAAATTACTGGCAGTAGAAATGGACGCGATAAGGTGATCAGTACGAACATCAAGGCTGGATAGAGTACGAAATGAAACAATCAGGGATAAATGGGTAGACAAAAAACTATAGTACAGGAAATAGAGAATGCCCAACTGAAGAGGTATGGACATGTGAGAAGGATGGAAAACACGCGACTGCCTCAGAAGGTACTAAACTAACTTCCACAAAAGAGAAGGAAACAGGGAAGACCAAGGACAAACTGGATGGGAGGGTGTCAAGAAGGCGATGAGCTCAAGGGATCTGCCTGACGGAGACAGGAATGAACGGAATCAATGGCGACTAGGCATCGCACAACGTCGAAGGACGTTTTAAAAGCGATTCTTATATCTATAAACATATGTCATTTAGTTCTATACCCATTCTGTTACAATTTCTTTTATATATTCCATAGATCTAAGGCCTTGGCAATATAAATTTTAAATAATGTTGGGGATATACAGCAACCCTCTCGGAGCCCTTTAGTGATACCCATTTCCTCTGAGAGACAGTTGACCGGATTTTCCTCCATAGTAAAGATTTTGTACAGCTTTTATCAGAGCTGCGTTAATTCTGGATTCGTGCAATACTTCCCATAACTTTATTATCTTATTATGCTTTTGTAGATCGATGTATGTTATATGAACTTCCTGGTTTATTGCAGATTTCTTCTCGATGATCTGCTTCAATGCAAAGATGTTATATGTACAGGGACATCATTTTAAGTGTCTCACTCGATTTATAATTTTCCTGTTTGGTATTTAAAGATAACAGAAAGATTTTCTAATGTAATTTTTCGCGGGGATGCCGATTTTCTACATTAAAATTTTTTTAACGTCAATTTTGACAGATACGACGCCATCTTGATTTTTTTTAAATGGAAACCCCCACATATTTTAGCATGGTCCGGTAGACATATTTTAGCTAATTTCAAAAATATATAGTTTAGTATACTTTGCACTTACCGTTTTCGATATACAATGGATTTAAAAATGAATTGTCACAGAATCATTTTAAGTGTCTCACCCAATTTAAAATTTTCCTCTCTTCTATTCTAAGATAGTAAAAAGATATTTTAATGTAATGTTTCGCGAGGATTCCGATTTTTTACATTAAAATTTTTTACAGCGTCAATTTTGACAGATACGACGCCATCTTGATTTTTTTTAAATGGAAACCCCCACATGTTTTAGCATGGTCCGGTAGACATATTTTAGCTAATTTCAAAAATATATAGTTTAGTGTACTTTGCTCTTACCGTTTTCGATATACAGTGAATTTAAAAATGAATTGTTCCAGAATCATTTTAAGTGTCTCACCCAATTTAAAATTTTCCTCTCTTCTATTTTAAGATAGTAAAAAGATATTTTAATGTAATTTTTCGCGAGGATGCCGATTTTCTACATTAAAATTTTTTACAACGTCAATTTTGACGGATACGACGCCATCTTAAAATGATTCTGGAACAATTCATTTTTAAATCCACTGTATATCGAAAACGGTAAGTGCAAAGTATACTAAACTATATATTTTTGAAATTAGCTAAAGTTTGTCTACCGGGCAGTGTTAAAATTTGATGGGGTTTCCATTTAAAAAAAATCAAGATGGCGTCGTATCTGCCAAAATTGACGTTGCAAAAAATTTTAATGTAGAAAATCGGCATCCTCGCGAAAAATTACATTGAAATATCTTTTTACTTTCTTAAAATAGAAAAGAGGAAAATTTTAAATTGGGTGAGACACTTAAAATGATTCTGGAACAATTCATTTTTAAATCCACTGTATATCGAAAACGGTAAGTGCAAAGTATGCTAAACTATATATTTTTGAAATTATCTAAAATATGTCTACCGGACCATGCTAAAATATGTGGTGGTTTCCATTTAAAAAAAATCAAGATGGCGTCGTATCTGTCAAAATTGACGTTTTAAAAAATTTTGGTGTAGAGAATCGGCATCCTCGCGAAAAAATACATTAGGATATCTTTCTACTATCTTTAAATACCAAACAGGAAAATTATAAATCGAGTGAGACACTTAAAATGATGTCCCTGTACATAATTTTCGGCCTATGAAACCATTCTGCTCTTCTTCTTCGTCAACCAATTAGCACTCAGCTATGTTAATAGCTCACAGCTCACATAGCTCATGTTAGTTTCGAATTTTAACTTACTACTAAAGCAAGTTTAATTGCATCTTATATTATTTACAAATAAGCTATATAGACACACCGGTTTAAACAATTTTTACAGAAGTTCAGAGCAGCAATAAATCTCATATCATTATAATTTTGTAATTAAATTATATCATGCTTAAAAATATAATTATACAATTGGTACATGTTATAATATGCATATATCAAGAAATAATGTATGTACCATACGGATTAAACTGTTTACCTCTAGTTATCATCCTTGACTTTTAATGCTATAGAACGCTTTTTACCTCGACTATATCTCCCTCAGGTAATACAATTCTTCTTGCATATAAAACTGAAAGTGGAATGGCGACCGATTTCAGTTCTGAATAACAAGGAAGTGTAGAGTGTAGTGTTGAAAGTGATAAACTGTTTCTGCTAAATCGCGTTTCTGGATTACGTTAGAGTGCCGTAAGTACTGTAGAATTAATGGTTATAAATATCAGATGAAGATATGGATTGCGCTGTTTTTATATTTTCGTATATGTACCAATTTAGTAAATCTTACATAGATAGTTACTAATTTCGTTTTAAAAGAGTTCAATGGGACCTATGACCATAAAACGAATTTGTAATACTATTATGTATATTAAGTAATAATTTAATATCTTTGTAAATGGTTGGTTACTATAATATCCTCTGGTAGAATCACAATTGCACAGGACTTTGTTGTACAATTATTTGCTTTAATTTTTTTTTGGCTTAAAATTAAAGTTGCATTTTAGCGGTAATATTTTTCCAGAAAATTGCTGTATTTTATTATTACTTATTCAGTTGATTGTTATTTGCAGGAAAATAAATTTAATTTTTTTTTAAAAATTTAAAATAAATGGTGTTTGGAAGTGTGGTCCGAACTGTATTCCCGAAACTTTGGCAGCAAATTCTACAGATAAAAATAAGCAAAAAAGTTCGTACGTCCTAAAATGTTTAGTTTCGGAGATACAGGGTGTAAAAGTTTAATTTTTATTTCGATTATTTTGAAGTTATTTCTGAAGTAACGCCAATATATGGATGAAAATTGGTGTCTGAGAGTTCTTTGACATGAGAAATTTGATTTTGATGTCTGTTACGGGCGAGAATTAAGGGGCTCAGTTCATTAAGGTGAGTTAATGTATCAGGACTGTGGGCACTCACCTTTATTCCCGTTCTGGACTCGTACCTGTTGATTTTTTGCTTGAACAAAACACTTGAGGATAGCGCGCGCTTGGAGGTGTACACTGTGTACTCGGCCGATCTTGTCTCTCTCCGTACTCGACTACGGCTACGTACCCACTAAGGTTTTTTCGGGTAAAGGATGGGAGGAAGGGATAGAATCCAACATACCGCCCACCAAAATGAAATATTTTCCATTTTCGTTTGAGAATAGTAAAGTAAAATAAAAAAAAGTGAAAAAATGCGTTATGTTTAAAAGAAAGTAAGAGTGAAATTTATGAAGTTAAATTTAGAGGAAATTTAGAAAAATGCATTATTGGGGTTAATGCATGAGTGTAATTTAATTAAATATTAAGAGAGTTTACATTTGTTATAGAGTAGAGAAAAGTAATTAAATAAGAGATGTTAATTATGTTTATAATGAGATTATGTTTTTTTGCGATTATGTTTTTTGCGATTATGTTTTTTTTTTAGAGAGTAAATTTTAATTATGAGATTTGCAGTAAGGCAGTGGGCATATCTTTGTCACTGGTCTTTTAAGAATGCCTTTGCTGTTTTTAAAGTAACCACGCGTGTAACACGATCATGGCCAGGTGAATCTCTAAGACTCTTCCAATGCTCCATTTGAGCGGAATAAGATTATCATCTTTTATTAAAACAACCGAGTTTATTTCTATTGGAATAGTAGAGTCATTCCATTTAGCTCTTTGTAAAAGTGTTTGAAGGTATTCTTTAGACCATCGGCTCCAAAAGCTTTGGTGCAAGCGTGATATCAACTGCCAGCGAGAGATGATTTAAATTTTATCCCGGAAAGATCATCTTCCGGAGGGGCGTTTAACGGCTCTAGGGTTAAAAATGTCCTGGGTAAGAACTGACAAATCATTAGGATCAGAGCTTTGTGGACACAATGGACGAGAATTAAGCACTGCTTCTATTTGAACCAGTAGCGTATAAATTCCTCATACGTGAGCAATTGATCACCAATGACCCTTTTAATGTGAGTTTTACAGACTTTATTCCTGCTTCCCACAGGCCACCAAAATGAGGCGCGCTTGGAGGATTGAAGTGCCAGGAAATTTGTTCTTGCTCAGCGGCGGATTTTAGCATATTAATCAGTTCTCTAGAAGCTCCGACAAAGTTCGTTCCACAATCGGAATAAATATGATTGCAGCGACCTCTACGAGAAATGAATCGACGCAGTGCACCCAGAAAAGCCTCGGAGGAAGGTCGGAAACCAGTTCTAAGTGCAAAGCTTTCGTGGCCATGCACACAAATAAGCAAATATAGGCTTTACAGGACTTAGCACCTCGTGCACGATATCTTAATAAAGAGAATGGACCACCATAGTCGCATCCAACTTCAGAGAAAGGTTTTACTTGAGAAAGTCTTACAGCAGGAATATCTCCCATAATAGGAGGCTGAGGCATTACTGGATTAGCGCGAAAGCATTGAGGACATTTAAAGAGAACACTACGAATTGTTTTTCTAGCAGAAACAATCCAGTATTGTTGAGCGAGAATATAGTGAAGAGTTTGGGGACCGGGATGCAAATAGAGTTTATGAGTATATTCTATGAGTAGAGTAGTAAATTTATGATTATTGGGTAAGAGTGCGGGATGTTTTTGAGAGAAATTTAGAGAAGCATTGCGCAAGCGACCACCAACTCTAAGAATTCCATTGGTGTCGAGAAAGGGTCAATTTTCTTAAGTATTTAGGTAGAGATTTGCAATTATTTATTAAGAGAATTTCCCTAGCATAATATTGTGATTGAACACATTTAATAATACATTCTAGAGTTTCATTTATTTCAAATTTCGAGAGAGGAGAGGTTTTACGAGATTTAGAATGTCAGTATTATAGAAAGCGTCTGCAAAACGTGACAATATTTATAATTTTAGAGAAAGAAGAGAACTTTTCAAAGAGAGTATCAAACAATGAGGGCTGTGAAGTACATGTCAATATAACTTTTCGTTGTTCTTCTTCAATTTCAGGGGAAAGTAAAATTGATTGCGGCCAATAAGATTCCGGTTGGCTTAGCCATGGAGGTCCCGCCCACCATAAGGCATTGTCGAGTAACTCGCTAGGTTGAAGACCACGAGAACCTGGATCAGCGGGGTTGTCTTTGGAGACTACATGACGCCAACAAGAAGGAGGTAATTTCTCTTGAATTTGGGAAACTCGATTGCTTACAAAAGGTGTTCCACTTATATGGTTCACTTTTAAGCCAATGCAAAACAACCATCGAGTCAGACCATGCAATCATACTAACATTAATAAGTTTATTAGAAAGAGAGTTCTAACGAAATCAATTAACCTGGTCAGAAGTAAGGCTGCACAGAGTTCCAGTCTTGGAATTGAGATTTTTTTGAGTGGAGCTACTTTGCCTTTAGCGCAGACAAAATTTGTTTTTACAGAGTTATCTGGAAGAATTATCCTAAAATAAATTACTGCACAATAGCCTTTTTTCACTAGCATCACAAAAACCATGTACTTCCAGGGATAAATATTTGAGAGTGAGAAAATATCGAGGAACTTTGAGAGAGAAAATACAAGGTAATTCTTGAACGAGTTGATGCCAAGATGTAGCAATGTTATTGGGAGCAGGATCATCCCAATTTATACCTAACTTCCACAAATCTTGTATAATCAGTTTTAGGTGAAGAGTGAGAGAACTAACATGCCACAAGGATCGAATATGCTTGCGAGTTGTGAAAGAATATTGCGTTTGTTACAGATTTTGTTTGTCAAGGACAACGCTGGTGAATCAAAGAAAAATTCATCTGTAGAGGGATTCCAGTTTAGTCCTAGAACTTTAGGGAAGAAAGAAATTTATATTTAAAGAGAGAAAGAATCCATTTTGCATTCATTTGGAGATAACTGAGAAAGAAAATCTGAGCTATTCGAAGTCCATTTTCTAAGTTCAAAACCGCTGTGTTTGAGTATAGAAATGAGATCGCGTTGAATTTTTATAGCAAGAGAAAGAGAATCGCAACCAGATATAATATCATCGACATACGTATCCATATCTAAAATCTTTGATGCTTCGGGATATTTTACTAAATTTTCTAAAGCAATTTGTTTTATAACTCGAATGGCTAAAATGGGCTACAGCTTAAACCAAAAGTAACGCGAGTAAGTTTGTATTCTTGAATGGGCTCATTAGCGTTAAATCGCCATAAAATTTTGAGGTATTCAGTATGATTTTCATTAACAAGAATTTGACAAAACATTTGTTTAATGTCGCTTCAGCAAATACAATCAAATGAGATCTAAATCGAAGTAAAATAGATAAAATATCTGACTGTAATTTTGGCCCAGTTAAGAGAGTGTCATTCAAAGATTTATTTGTGTAATCTCGAGCGGAAGCATCAAAGACTCTAAGTTTGGTCATTGAGACTATCTGGTCGGATTACGCAATGATGAGGCAGATAATAAGAATAAGCGTTGGGAGAAAGGATTTTGCACGGCAATCATATATTGAGAATCTAAATATTCGCGCATGTAATTAGAATATTGAGAATAAAGTTGAGGGTTTCGAAGCAATCGTTTTTCGAGGGAGAAAAATCTACAGAAGGGCGACATCTCTAGAACCTTCAAAGATCGGTTCCAAAGTTTTAAATGGTAAAGATACTTTATAATGTCCAGAAAGAGTGCGTGAAAATGTTTTACAAAAGTGTTCTTCGGCAAGCTTTTCATCTGAAGAAAGCGTCGAGGATTGTGGAACTCCTCTAACTCCCAGAATCTTTGAAGTGATTGATCCAAGGAAGCATAAGAGGTAAGAAAGTATGAGTTTACAGAGAGTGAAACACTAGATGTTTTAACTCTTCCTGTAATTATCCATCCAAATATAGTTTCTAAAGCGACGGGTTGATCTGGATCTGAGAGGAGTTTGTTTCCTGTTATCAAGAAACCATAAATATCTGCACCCAAAAGTATATCTACGGGTTTAGAGAGGTGAAAGTTGGGATCAGCTAAGGGCAATTGAGAAAACTTTGAGAACTGTTCAACGGGAAGAGAATTAATCGGTAAATTATCACTAATTTCGTTTAATATAATAAACTCCAAGGAGTAGATCGGATCAGACTTTCCAATAGGTTTAATGTTGCATCTAACACCGTGAGAACCTTTGGAAATATTTTTCCCGATGCCACACAATTGGATGGGGAGGAAAAATTTAGATAAACCTAATTTATTAAAACAAGATTTTGAAATAAAGTGACTTTCACTTCCACTGTCAATTACAGCGCGTATTACATGAA